TACATGTTTACTGGAGGACTGCTCATCTTTCTCTTGGGGAGTAGCTGTTATCGTCAAACCCTCAATCTCGTAGTTAACTGCCCAACACATTACACACTATGCCACTAGGGCTCCATTAAGCAATATGAAGATGTAATCTTACTTTTCTCCTCCTTTATCCTAAAGATGAATATTGTAGGTAGTTTGACACCTTGCATTTTTCATGCAATTTAACAGATCTTTTCATGAGTGAATAGAGCACTTCTTTACCTGTTTTGGTAAACATAACATAGGATCCCACTGTATAGATGAATGAAAATTTATTTTATTAGTGCTTTATTGGTGCACATTTATGATGATTCCTAAATTTTGCTGCAAGACAAACCTCAGTACAGTATATGAAGTTATTCTGTAGCACATTTAAGCAAAAATAAGCTTCACCAGAAGATTACTTTTCAAGGGACAGAGCAGCCAACTGATTTTCACACCCAGAATGATTAGCCTTTACTTAAATGGCCAGGCAGGGTCTGTTCTCTTTAGGTAATTGTGCATAAGAGCACCTAACAATAGCTCGGCTGAGGTATGGAACTTGAGCTTTGATAGGGGGCCAAAGTGTGGGTCTTTCACAATACTTGGCTTTCATCCATTGTGTCTAAACTCTATACACAGTAGTTGCTGGTTCCTTTTAGGACAAGACTGGGTAATCACAATGAATGTGGTTGATTCTTGGTTGTCTTCTTTCAATTCTTATCAGTCATCATCTTATCACCAGTAATATGGTTGCTTGTTGCTTCCGTGTCCTTTTTGTGCTGATTCTTTGTGTTTGCTGAGACACTTGCTTCAAGTGGATTCTTCAGCTCTGTAATCAGTAGCTTTCTGTCTGAGACTCTGTGTGGAATTCTGTTGAATCTTGGCTTTGGCTGTGATTTGCTACAGCCTTGGTGCCCATCACAGTCTTGTTGCTGTGATGTCAATATCTGGAGGGCACACACTCTTTCTGTTCTCTTTGACCCATTGTGGGTAGAGGGCAGCTCTAAAACTCCAAAGACTGGAGTCCGAGGCATTTGTTAATGAATTCTTTACCTGGTAGCATCTCAGCGCTCCTTGGGCACCAATGTTAAATGTCCTGGGACAATGATCACATGTTTTATTGTGCCCAGGTCTGAATCATTGTTCCTGAATTCATACAGTATCCTCTACTTTGTTCCTAAGGGGGATTCATTAGTTCTTGACCTAGAAGGTCCACCCACACCCCTGATAGATTTGTCTTTGCGTTCTATCTGAAATATGTTCTCGAGGACAGTATTTTCTCTGCATGTTCTAAAACCAATTCTATGGGTGTTATTGGAACTCATAACAACATTTGCCCGGCATCTTAAGTACTAACATATGCTTGGATAACTCTCCTTTAAGTAACTTGTTATTCCTACCTGCCATCAGGCCCCTAATTCCTAACAACTCCATGCTCAATGGAACGAAAAGCTATGCAGCCCTATGCCATTCCATTATATATTCCATTATACATTGAATTTTAGTGTTCCATGGCATTTTTACTGGCTTATTTTCAGAATTAGATCGCCAGGTCTTTCCTCCTGTTCTGTCTTAGCTTGGAAGCTCTGCTAAAACCTGTTCATCTTACTGGGTTTTTATTTTGTTTTGTTTTTTATCTGAGTCAGAACTGAGGCATAACTGACCCTCCAGGGGTTTTACAGAGGCAGAAATCACACAGGAGAAAATAGCCCATCTGTCTCCTACACAGCAGCTAGTGGATTCAAACCATGTACCTTTGAGTTGGCAGCACAGTTCCTTACCACTAAGCCACCAGAGCTCCCTTTTGAGCACTTCTGCACTCTTAGATGGTTGGTTCCTGGGCTGGGCATAGAACCTGAGGAAGAAACGAATTCTACACCCAAGCACCAGCAACCCAGCTCATTGATGAAAAACTCAAAACAGCACCTCACACTCATTGCCACTGAGTCAGCACAACTCGTAACTGGCCCTCCAATGGGTTTTCCAAGGCTGTAAATCACACAGGAGTAGTTTGCTCTTCTTTTCCCCTTAGAGCCGCAGGTGGATTTGAACCACCAGAGATTCTCTGCGTGTGGGTTAGCAGCATAGCCCCTTATGGACTAGGCTGCCAGATCTCCTTGTTAGAACTTTAGAAACACTCCCTAACAAAGGCCTTGTGGCCACTGCCATGTCTCAAATCCAGAGACAAATAAGCCTAACTATGGACTGATCTTTCCATTCAGTAGAAATAAAGCATGGCTTCTCTGCAGACAGTTTTTTGAGTTTTTTTATTTTTAAAAACTTTTTTATTATTAATGAATTTTTTAATGCTACATGTATATATTTTCACAGCATATCCTTTCCATTTAATTTCCCCCCCATTCATTCATTGTTGCACATTTTCTTTCCTGCCTACCCGTCTCCCCCAGTTTTTTTCTCTTTGAAGAAAAAAATTCTTTCATTGTTATACAATCCCCTCCCTCAAGTCCACAGTCCACTTTATATGCATTTCTTTTTCTGTAATCTTGTCATGAAAATATTACCTAATCCTATATTCCTTTTCCTCTCCTGCGCAGGAGAGGAAGGCCCTCTATGAGGTGGATTGATTCAGTGACTGGGATAATTGGGATGGGAGTGTCAGAGACAGTGCGATTGGCACAGGACAGAGCGGAGTTTAGGGCTGTTGTACATAGGGTCGCTATGAGTCGCAGGCGACTCGACGGCACATAACAACAACAACAACATATTCCTTTTAAACAATTCTCTCCCTCATCTGTTTGAGACTTCCTGGCGGCGGCAAGGACTTTGTTAAGGGATATTTCTCCCTCCAGTGGTCAGAGGCATTCTCCCTGACTCTTCTTTTCAAGGCTTTATTTGGGGAAGCCAGCTAGGTTTCTCTTTCCTGTCTGAGAGATGCATCTACCGTCCCCCCACCCTGCAACTCTTAATCAACATCTTGGAGCTCGGTGGCTGCTGAAGGCTCCCCTGGCTTTGATCAGACTAGCCTACATCTGGGCAGTGGTGTTGAGGGGTTGGTCTTTCAGGAACCAGTCATAAAGTAGGCTTATAACATGCATTGTGCACAGTAGACTTATTTTCTATCACGGGGGACAAGGAAGGCAGTTTCCTAGCTCAGTATATGTTTGTAGCTTTCCGGTACCGAAATGCAGACAAATGCGGATTTGTCTCTCTCCTTCTGTCTCAGTCCTTTTTGTTCTGTATTCTGCGCATAACAATATCTTGCTGTAACCTCCTGTTTATCCTTTAGCAACATGTGGGAACGTGTTTGGGGGGGAGGTCAGTGCCTTGAAGGGGCTGTCAGTAGCTTGCGTGTTTGCTCCTTAATAACTGTAGCTGGCGGCGTGCGTAAATGAAACCACTGCAGGAACTTCCTCCCCAGGGAAGCCACTGGGTCTGGGGAGCCAGTTATTCTTGTTTGGGGCTCCCTTGCCTTGTTTGGATAAAAATGTGAGAAAGAAAAAAAAGAAAAAAATGTGAGAAAGAGCAGGAAGGATGATGGTTCTACGATTTGTCACAGGAAGAAGGAGTTCTGGTACCCAAACCCCTTATTTCTTACTTTCTTAAGCACTGTAGACTTTGCAGTTACCTCCTGTATATATTTATTACCAGGATCTTTGGTGGCATTGTATGTAAAGTGGTGAAATGTTGGGCTGGTAACTAAAAGATTGGTTGTTCGAATCCATCAGCTGTTCCCAGGGACAGAAATGGACAGTCTTCTCCTCTAAAGATTTACAGTCTTGGAAACCCGAGGAGAGTCACTAGGAGTCAGAATCTACTTGACAGCGCTGGGTTTTGTTTTGACTTGGTCTTTATTGACACATTCATTCTCCACTGCCTCCCTGAGGAATATAATCTCTGCAAGACCAACACCTTGTCTTCTTGTTCACCTTTGACTTCTTAGGCTGGAAATGTCTGGAGCCAATCAGGCAGCTCTTTAAAGTGTGGGCTGCATGAATCAATCCTTCTATCTTCTGACCTATGACCTTTGTGAGGACTGCCTCATCCATTCCCTTGACGACATTGGCCGGGCGACCTAAAACATCACACTGAGGTGTTGATTTCAAGGCTGATCATCTTGGATCCAGGAGAGACAACAGGGTTCTGGCAGTGGTTGTTGTTGTCAGGTGTGATATCAAGTTGGCTGAGACTTGTAGCAACCCTGTGGACAGCAGAGTGAAGCCCTGCCCAAGCTTGGGGGGGCCTCATCACCTCTGTGGTGCTAAGGCCCTCCTCTGGGCAGCCGGCCACCTTGCTAAGCCACTTCGCCCAGCATCTTCCTCTCTTTTGCTGGTTCTCTACTTCACCTCACATGATGTCTTTCTGCAGGGCCTGGCCCTCACTGCTAACGTTCCCAAAGAATGCCTGGCAAAGTCCTACGCATTCTGGCTGTGTGTCTTTCAAGTCAAATTTCTTTGTTCCTTTGGAAGTCCATAGTCTAGTCAGTATTCTTCAGCAGGATACTAGTGAAGATGTTAAATTGGCAGACAGTCTGGGCTCATATCTTATCTCTGTTGCTGACATGATTGGGAAACATCGGTGAACCTCAATTGATACATCTATACAGAAGAGTAGATTGCTGTCCTCACTCTTGCTAGCCCTTGGCTGAGGAAAGAAAGGAGCTCATGTGTAGTGGATCAAAGTGCTGCTTAAACAATGAAGAGTTTTGGAAACGAAGAGAATGAAAAGTTGTGGTCTTTCTGACCCTCGCTTTTCTGGTCTGTATGCAGGCATGTTCGCTGGCGCACCACTTCCAACTCTGTTAGAATTAAGTGCTCAATTGTCCCTTTCAGGTGTTCCCTTTGCTGAGTGAACCAGGGAGTGGTTCCCTGCTAGGATGCCCAGCGGCCCAATTCCCTGTTAATGCTGGTACAGAGCAAGGGTAACCAGGACCTTGGAAAAGCATGCCCTCCTCTTCACCTGACCACTCCCCCCCTGGCTTATGGGTGAACAAATCACTACCAGCTGTACCATTTGTGTTTTTCTCTCCCCAGGAGGCTGCTCAAGAGTGAACTCGGATCGTTCATCACAGACTACTTCCAGGTAAGCTGTGTGGAGCTGCGCATTAGTTACTACTGTGCACGTAGGTACATGTATCTGAAGGAACAGCCTGGAAAGTCCACCAGCACCCCAGAGCTCCAGGTACAGAGCCCCATCTATGTGCTGACAGCTGCAGGGTGGCCACTGCCTAGAAGTACAGGACAGGCCTGCTCCCTGCTTTCCTGCAGACTATAGCCTTCAACAGTGAGCCAAGGCCTTTTGCTCTGAGGATCCCTTTGCATTCTTCAAAAGGACTATTTGGAGAGAACTTTTGTGGCCTAGTGGCAAGAAGGTGCACTGCAATCCCAGAGGTGAGCAGTTCCAATTCACCAGCTACTCTGCTGGAGAAGGAGGGGCAATCTCCTCCTGTACCAGTCAGATCCGATTTGACGGTATACACAAAATAATAATAGTAGTACTATTTAGGGCAGGGGAGAAATGATAATAATAAAAGTACTATTTGGGGCAAGGGAGAAATTTATCTTGGAAGAAATGTAGCCTGGGTGCTCCCCAGAAGCAAAGATAATAAAACTTTGTCTCATATACTTTGAGCGTGTTATCAGGAAGGACCAGTCTTTGGGAAAAGGTAGCATGCTTGGCAATGTGGAGTCTCTTTTTCCCCTTTAGAAAAATACTCTTAATGAGATGGATTGACACAGTGCCAGCAGTGATGGATTTGAGCATGGTGGTGAAAATGAGGCTGGTCCAGGATTGAGCAAAGATCCGATCTGTTGTTCATAGTGTTACTATGAGTTAACGTGAACTCAGTGGCATTTAGCAACAGCAGCAGCGTGTGTGTGTGTGTGTGTGTGTGTGTGTGTGTGTGTGTAAATGTTATACCTCTATATATTTTTTCAGTGGTTTATTCTGTATTGGGAGAGTGAGGGGCACCACCCTCACTGCACAGCCTGTTCATTGGCATTGCTTCCTAACTCCTGCGGCTTCATCCCGTTCAGCAGCTCTGGCGGGCTGGAGAATGGTTCAAGGTGGAGGGCCTCAGAGGTGCCATCTTCCCAGAAGGCCAGCTCCACTGTGGCCGGGGGCCCTGGGGTCTCGCCATCTGACTGGTGAAGCCACAGTCGCCCAGCATCTTGGTGTCCTCCAGGAGCTGGTCGTCCTTGTACAGACACTGCTCGTCAGGTGACCTCTCTAAGATGCCCTCTGTGACACCCTTCAGCTTGAACGTGATGCTTGAGTCCTTGGTGGCAGTGAAGATAGTGGTCTTGTGGGGCTGAATCATCAGAAACACATCCATCATGGTGGTTGGCTCTACCCTCGATTTGTCTATCTATGTGTTTTTATTTTATTTTTTTTAAATTTTTTGGTGTGTACTGTCAAATCAGATCTGACTGGTACAAGAGGAGATTGCCTCTCCTTCTCCAGCAGAGCATCTGGTGGATTCGAAACGCTCACCTCGTGCAGATTCTTGCCACTAGACCACCAGAGCTCACATATCTATATATTTTTAGAAGCAGCTTTCATGGCCTAGTGGTTAAGGCATTGCATTGCCAACCCCAAGGCACATGATTCAGACATGCCAGCTACCATGTGGGGAGAAAGATGGACAGTCTTCTCCTGTGTGATTAACTCCCTCTAAAAACCCACTGAAAGGTCAGCTGTGAGTCAGTCCTGACTCCACAGAGCATGACAACAACAACAACAACATACTTTTATGGACGGAGTAGTCACATTTATTTCAAATAAAAATTTATATTGGCTGCCTCAAATGTAAGAGAAAAGTAATAGTTACGAGAATGGTTAAATTTTCAGTGTTTGTAACAATGAGATATGGACCTAGTAAGCCTTTAAAATGATTTTTAAAAAGCAGCTATAAGCATACTTATGTAATAATATTTTTTCTTTTGTTACTTAAATCAAAGTTTTATTGAAAATGTATAATGTCACAGGATTTTGCTTCTCCTACCTTTTGCCACTAATAGGGCCCACATGCAGTAGGTTGATAACATACGAATTTTATGACAATAGTCTATGGTGAAAGCATAAGTGTCTCACAAGACTTTAAACAGTAGAAACTTAATGTTGTTCTTGTTTACCATTGAGTCAGAACCGATCCATAGCCGAGCCTCCAGTGGGTTTTCAGAGGCAGTTGATCAATCACACAGAAGATTGCCCAACAAAATTGCATAAAAGTACAATGTCCATAACAGCCATATTTGACTTTTATTTATCTTTGTAGTATGAGGAATTAAAGGAAAAGTTCTGAAATGTATCTTAACTTGTTAAATGAGAAACCCATTACATGTGAGCGCAATAACATGTTTATTACAAACTACTTCCAAAATTTTTTAAAAAAAATAGAAAGGTGGTATTGTTTTATATTAATGTACGTCTCTATACTGGCTGGATTAACCCTTTTGAAACTTATGATACAGTGTTGTTGTTGTTGTTGATTGCCAGTGAGTCAATCACGACTCATAAAGAACCTATGAACAAAACGCCTAAAGCCTTTCTATAACTATTGTTGTTTCTCAAGTTTATAGAGTTTCCATAGGCATGTGGTTTAGGAAGTGGATGCCACTTCAGCTTTCAAGATGACACAGTAGTCGTCTATATTCTCTTACTCCAAGATTAGTGGGAAAATTGTATCCCACTTGTACTGCACAGTGCCATCTGGAGGGGCCTTGTATAATTGCATGAATATGAACAAATGAACCTCATCCCAGCAGTCTGAATCAGAGAATCCATAAGGACGTGTGTGTCCTACTGATTGCATCAAAAGCAACACCACCTTTAAATATAATTATTTCACTTCATTCAAAATACCTTCCATTACTGAAAACACATGGTTTCAACAACAAAAAAAAAAATTAAAAGCAGAGAATAATTTGCTCATGAAAGGATTAATAGAAGCTAGCTGGGGTTTCATATCTGCCTCGGCAATTTATCTGTTGTGATTTTAGACATCATGGAGTCTCTAGAGACTGGGAGTGAAAAGGCAGAGAACAGCGGAGCATTATCAGGAAAACTGTTTTAACCATTCGGATCCTTTGGAAGGGTCTGAGGATTCCCCAGAGACCCCCAAACCACTACTGAAAACAGCACTAATGAAGCCCTCCCCCTCCTCTCCTTGCTCTGTGGTCTTTCTTGTTAAGATGTAAGATGCATTTTAAAATTTTTCCTGGGAGTACATATATTGTGCGTATGAGTAGGATTTTACTGAAAAGCATGTCGTTGTTGTTGTTGTTAAATGCCATCAAGCTGTAGGTGACTCAGTGACCCTATGAACGAAAGACCTGAACACTTGTATAACTGTCATCCTTTCTCTAGGTTCATAGAGTTTCTGGAGGCAAGCTATTTTGGGAGTAGATATCACTCCTGCTTCCAAGCTTGTTTTTAATTGGGGAGCTCCACCAAACACTGTCCACCATGGGTAATCATGATAGCTTTTGACACATCAGTGTCACAGTGTTTAGCATCACAACAACCACAAGTTACCTCTGTACAGTAAGTGGACAGGCCAGGGCTATACGACCTAGAAGAATGTTTGACCACAAACAATTAAAACCAGGCCTGAGGGCCGCGGATTAGAAGTCACCCACCTTTGGCTTGGGAGCATCACTATACTTAAATTCCTCAATGAACAATCAGTTGCCACTAATTTTAAAAGACAGAATTTTTTTTAAAAAAAATTATATTTATTTACATACACTGTGTTTCATTCATGTACATTGTGCTTCACACATTCCCTCATTCACATTAGGTTTCACAGAATTGTTTATATACAGTGTGTTTTAGAAAATCATTCACCATTAATCTGTGCCTACCATTGCCCTTACCAGAAGCGCTTGCTGCAGAAGATCAAGGACTACAGCCTCATATATGGACTGAAGCTCAACATAAAAAAAAAACAAAACAACAAAGATTCTAACCACTACACCAATTGGCAGCATCAGTATGGATGGTGAAGAGATTGAGATAGTTAACAGTTTTAATTTACTCGGCTCCACAGTCAACACTCTTGGTAACAGCAGCCAGAAAATCAAGAGACAAATTGCATTGGGAAAGTCAGCTGTGAGGGACCTCTCAAGAGTACTGAAGAGCAACTATGTCAGACTGGAGACTAAGGTGCTCCTGATCCAGGTGATAGTCTTTGCAATTATGTGCTATGCATCAGAGAGTTGGACAGTGAATAGGGTTGATAGAAAGAGAATTGATGCCTTTGAGCTGTGGTGCTGGAGAAGAGTGTTGAATATACCATGGACTGCTAGGACAACAAACAGGTTTGTCCTGGAGAGGGTGAAGCCAGAGTGTTCCCTGGAGTCAAGGATTCTGAAGCTTCATCTGGCATATTTTGGGCATGTTGCAAGGAGGGACTGGTCCTTGGAGAGAGACATCATGTTTGGCAGAGTGGAGGGGCAGTGAAGGAGAGGAAAGCCTTCGATGAGATGGATCGATTCTGTGACTGGAGAGGTGGGAATAAGAGTGTTTGAGATGGCTAGGATGGCACAGGATAGAAGAGCGTATAAAGCTCTTGTACATAGGGTCACTATGAGTTGCAAGCGACTTGATGGCACGTAACAACAACAACAACAACCATTGCCCTGTCTTTTCAGGTCCTCGTTGGCTCTTTGCCATTTCTTCAGCCCTTCTCCATCAAACTTGGCTATCCTAGTGATTTCTGCCCCCAACCTCTTGCAATTTTTTTGCCCCCTTGACCCTTGCCTTTTCCCCTTTTGGACTTTTATACATAAAGTACGGTCATTAATTGTGTTTTAATTATAAGTATCCTTTAGCCAAAGATAGCTTCTGGAAGAAAGATGGGCCATCTCCTCTTGTGTGATTTACAGCCTCTGAAAGTCTTCTAGAGGTTATGAGTTGGTTCCAACTTGACAGCAATGAATTGTTATTTGAGTTTAGCCAAGCTGTTGAGGGCAGTACATGGTAGTGGTCAAGAACGTGGACCTTAGAGTCCAGACTACCTGGTTTCAAAGCTGAGAATAAACACTTAACTAGTGGTGCAACTTTGAGCAATAGCTTTATCA